GATAGTATACTTGGTAAGCTTGAGACAACACATCAAGTTACCAATTGTTCCCGCCTTACAAAAATCCATTTTCCTCGTGTACTAAATTTACAAAAAACATCAAACCTAATTTTGAAGATATTCAAATGATACTGTATCGAATAAATTGTTGTGAAAATACTTGTACTAAGATAAATTAGGTAGATGTTACTACTTGAACTGTTTTTGTCCCCAGAATCAATTTCAAATCACACGTAACTTTGAAATATACATGATGATGAATGATATACAGTAACACAATGAAAGGGACGTCAGTACTACCAGACAGTCAGCTGTTTATATTTCAACATGTGTTTGTAGTCTTCCAGCATGTAACTTGTAACTAACACACAAATACGACATACGTACCTCAAACGAGACCGGGCACCATCACATAAAATCCATTCTGTCGATATTTATGAATAGATCTTCATTTTTGAGAAAGAGATGTACATCCCAAACACTATGAAAATCTGGAGTTTGGTCCAACGGCACTAAACGACAAACTCTGTATAGATCAAACACGATTGTTTATATTTATCCTACATCATCAACAATCGCATGACCTTAGCATGTTTCTCTGGTAGCCTCTACGTCAACACTGAGATTCCTACTCCCCAGTACAATGTGTACACACATGCCCGGTGGAGCGTCAACCTAACACCCCATCATTAGCTTGCAGTCTCAATGGGAGTCCTATAAATGATCCGCGAGCCAATATAGAAAAAACAAAAATAAAAAAAACAAACATTGATTTTCAAATTGACACAACAGTTACCAGACCCTATATATACAGAAGTAGTTGCTAGCAGGCCCAGCTGACTGAACAGTAGTTTCACCACCGACAGCTGAGCGACAAGACACGATCTAAGCCCAATACAGCTGGCACGATTCAATTGTTACACTCTCAGAGGTTTAGTCCAGCAGAAAAAACAGGTCACTTTCGACTCAACTCCTGTGGGAGGGTCATGTCCATTTCCAATTATCTGTTTGGACATTGTAGCTGATACATGTGTGCTCAATATGATGGTCGCCCAGGTCCATGAGAAATAAACATCGCCTCTAAATTCCTTTTAAGACTGTGTGCAATTACACACGAATAATATTATATTCCACTCCACGTTCAAACAGTAGATTGAATTGAGGAACTTGACCCCACACGGGATCTAAGGATAGATTTTGAGTGGATATTGGCATAAAATGTTACATTTCATTAAACATGTCGACTTGTTACGAGTGGCAGGTACATGCTGAATTCATTACCTTTAATAGAAATACACATTAAATATCCACAAAGATTTCTTCAGTATTTCAAATCAGACTTCCCATCATGTCGATCAGGACAGAAAACTTGTTGTTTGCGGCTGACCAGCAATGTATATCCCACTTCCATCAGAAATCCAAAGTGATGTTGCTGATAATGATGTACAACTCTGGCTGGGTCTAACTTTGTTTTAAATCTACTCCCTCCGATATTAATGTTAAAAATAAACCTAGATCTTGCTATCCATCAATTTAGCCCTGTAGGGGGTGTAATTTGTTAAATGCAATCTTCTCGAAATACTTAAATGTTATTAATAGGTGGTGAAGTAAATAATCCCCCGGCACTACATATACACACAATGGTACTTCTGTTTCTGTCAGTTGCGTATAACTTACTAGCCTATAAAATTATACATTTCTTCGTAACCATCAGATGAAGCCTATATTTTTCTGGACTAATGGTGTGAAATTTAATCGGCAGTGTTATAGGGTACTTAGCAGTCACTGGTACCGCTACAAAATCAGTTTAATTTCCCACACAATGGACCCTACCAAAGTGTATCATACCCAAGTGTAATTCTGATAACAGATTTAGATATGAGGATAACATCAGAATCCTTTTCTCCGATACTTGTCGATTTTAACCTGGTCAAAACTCTCCGGGGTTTATTCCATTGTCATCTTCCCTGAATGTTGTCGGAGAGGAATTAAAATCCAGAATTAAATCTGTCTCTTGTCTTTTCAGGCCTGTTTTCGAATTACACGGCTGAACGGCAGTCCCTTACACAATAGCTATGACTACAGAAGGCCCCGATCAGTTCAGGTGAAATTTTTCATTTGATCAGACCAACAAATTACTGAGTGTTTTCCCTCAGGGAAACTGTCAGATTTTCTACAGGAGTTTTACCTCAACGAGAACATATTCACACGACCACAGCACAAGACCACATAGCTTCTCGGAGTATACATCGCTGCACGATGAAAAGATTGTCAATTAATTGTTTGGGGAGAAATATTATTAAGTTAATGAAAGTTTAATTAAAAACATAGAATCTGATTGGAGAAAATCTTGTGGTAAAGAGTTTTATTTATACCTATTTAATATTTTTTCTTTTTCTTCATTTCTTTTATATCCCCATTAATCAAGTTACGTAACATCCATTATGACACATCATGTAAGCGTTCTCATGACCCCGACTTTTGAGGTCACGTCTTAACCGATCAGTCTTCATTTCTGTTATATTGAAGTTCATTAATCATATAAACATCCAATTTTTTTTTTTTAAACAATCTTAACATNGCCAGGAGGGTAGAATTGTGAGTATACCATTAATAACCTAACAGTATTGGAATCATATTACCATACATTACATAGTAAATGTATATTAACATACCTTACATAGTAGATATACATTACCATATATGACACAGTAAATGTACAGTATTAAGTTCAAGTAGAGGTCAACTGATCTTGTGTCAACTATGCCAAATTTATTCTGGTAAATGCCCCTGGCACTCAGGTCTTTTTCTAAAACACAGTGCTTCTTGTATATATATGTACCGCATTTACTGCCGGTAAACCCTTAAGTTCAATATGAAAGCATATCCCCTTGATTAAATGTACATTTTTTTTTGGATTTTATCCTGCCCTTCTTGCTTGACATAGCTTCAAATTTGAGTACCACCATACCGGACATCTCACCTGCATTCTCATTGGTCAATCAGAAGATGACCTGTCTATGACCTGTGCAGATTCTGGTAAAAAAATTGAATCTCCTGCATTCTGACTGCTTAGCTCATCATGGGAAATGATTAAAAATCTGCCTTTTTAAAAAGTTTAAATATTAAGTACTCCTTAAACATTAGGACACACTAGTTTATTAAAAAGGCAAACATACACAGTATTTATAAATGCTACTTACACTGATTTTGATGAAATTGAAATGTTTACATACTGAAATAACATGCAATTAGCAGACTTGAAGTTTATTTTGACCACCCATGACCCTTGAAATTCATTGCTGCAAACTTTGAACTTCCCCTCTATGAAACACTTTCTTTCAGCACACATCTATACTCTGCCAAAATTCCTGAAGAACTCGACCACCTGAGTTACGGAACATTGGGCTAGCAGATATATCAATTTTATAGATCTGTATGTTCATTAAATATGAACTCATACACCAGGATAATTTAAGTCAAGTTTTTGTGAAATCGGAATGTACATTTTCAAGCAAGTTGTCCGTAGAGATGTTCACCAAACAGACACATTGGTAGCCATCTTGGATTCTAATGAACCCAAAAAAGTTGATATTTGTAATGACTATGGGATCAGAAACGCATCGGAATAGTTGTTCATCAGGAGAAATTGTTGGTAAGGAGGACGACGGGTGCCAAGACACGGGATCACTGTTGTGATAGTAACAATTTGTGTGTATAAAATTTAATTATTTTAGTCGGGGACCCGAGGATTATTTCCAATATCAACCATTTCAAAAATGATTACATCAAAGGAAAAAAATAAATGTTATAATGGTAATTCATTGAAATCTATTTAGTTCCAGAATTCAGATTTGACAATCTGGCCTTGATATGTAGGTTTAAAATAGAGATTTCGTTTAATTTCAGTAACCACATCAAGCTTCACTGAGTCTCTCTAGGGAGGAATACTCCCAGGCAAAGCTGTGTAGGGTTAGTGATCGTATTGACATATAGCCTTAAGCTGTTACAAACAGACACTCCATCAAACTTTTTTTAATCCCTAGTAAAGTTGCAATGTGAAAAGTTTTTTCTTATTGATTTCTTTTAAAGCCAATCCTCTTACTGAAAAAAACCCTTTACAAACTGTAACATAAAATACAAGAAACTGGCATCAGCTTGATTATATAATACTGTTGACCTATTAAGGTTTGTTAAATCAGCAGATTCTAAGATTGAAACATCTAATGTATTAACTGAATGTATAGATGTAGAAAAATATTTAATGGAAGATAACTCAGCACCATATATCTGAGATACACCAGGAGGATCTAATACATGTACATTTTGAGACCTTGTAAAGGGAGATAACTGAGACGTTTGGCATGTTCCTTGGTATAAAGTAAGGGGAGATAGCAAGGGTTGAATACATTAAGGGGAGATAACAAAAATATCTCATATGTCATATAACTCATCCCATCATTTAAAATGTATCAAGGGGAGGTAATAAAGAGTTGAACCAACTTATAAACATTTAATTACATACAAGAAATTAACAATGTTAAGGCCTTTGTAGGGAAAAAAAAGTTTTTGTTTTTAATTTTTGGGCTTTATTGGGGACTAAAGAGGAGACAACACAAATCATTGGTAGCGGAGATAACTCAGAAGTATTTCTACACAATCACATTGGTAGGGGAGATAACCCAGAAGTATTTCTACACCATCGCATTGGTAGGGGAGATAACTCAGAAGTGTTTTGACACCATTAAATTGGTAGGGGAGATATCTCAGAAGTGTTTTGACACCATTACATTGGTAGGGGAGATAACTCAGAAGTGGTTTGACACCAAAACATGCGTAGGGGAGATAACTCAGACGTGTATTGACACCATTACATTTGTCAATTCAACTTCAAACAAAATAATGGTAAAAATATTAAGTGATTCTTGACCTAGATAATACAAATACAGTATGACAATGGATGATTCCAGATGTCTCGGGTACTCCATCATGTGACCTACCTGATGATGAGGATGATGAGATGTTGTTATTTTGTTGATTGAGCTGTGAGCGTGTCACTTTGTCGTTGGAGTGGTTCTGAGACTTGGAGTTTCGGCTGTTGTTGATGGAGGTAGAAGTTAGGGCCTGGCCGTCTTTGGACGATGGGTTGGTTATAGTGGGACATTTACTGCTAGACTTAAATGGAGACGGCAACCTGTAACAGAATTAATTAAATGTCATATTAATATCAAAACACACTGTTCCAGCCAGGAATCAGGAACTAAGTTATGTAAAATAAATACGACCCTGCTTGTAAAAGGTTCCAAAATATATCAAGAAGAATAAGTCTTATGTACCTGAGAATTACAAGTTGTATATAGTAAAATGTGAGTATGTCCGTTTGACCTACTTTTACTTCTTTTAGTCTCTCTTTGATATCTTCAGGACTCAATTTATAATATGAGGCCATTTGTGTAAACCATTTGTGACAATGAGCTATGAAGATATCTCATCAATAAAGCGAATCCTCAATCTGAAAACTTTGCTTTTTAACATGTTTTCAACAGAAACTGAAGTGCCTGAATTGACACTCAATAAAATTTCTTCAGATGTCAGTTTAATTTTGACCGTTCTGAAAATTAAACTTTGTTTAATTTCAGAATCAAGTCTATTAATATCTATAAATCATTCTTGTTGGCCAAGATGGTAATTTGCAGGGGTTTTTACTGTGGGGGGGGGGGAACTGGATTACCCCCACAAAACCCTCCTCATCAGGCAGGTGACAAGCTCATACATTTTCACATTCAATTAGGGAATCGAACCCCGGCCAGTTTAATGGAAGGTGAGAGTTCTATCGCCTGGGGCACCCGACCATCCCCGGAGTGGTTAATTCGATATTGAAAAGTGTTCTCACAAGACCAGTCTTATGACTATAAATAGAAATCAATTATTGAACAAAATGTCTGGTTTTGCAATGTATGCTAGACACATGACTTTCTAGAAGTGAAATTGACATCATGTTTGACCTCACTACTGAACAATATTTACAAAAGACAAGACAGTTGACAAGCTTAATCGAACTTTGTGTGCACCGTCCGCTGATTGGTGATCTGAACTTACCAGCGGACCTATCCGATACCCTTTGATATATAAATACAACACTGATACATTAGTCACAAATCGTGTCTGCGATAGAAAATGTCTGCCAAGAACCTTATGAATTTGCCGAAAAACACAATCATCAAAAAAGCACAACCCAATTATTTCTTTTTTTGAACCTTTTGAGCTACATTTACAGACAGCTGATCAATTAATGATCTTGAAATCACTCATGGGACAGATTTGGTCTGAAGGCCAGACTGTGATCCATTTGTAGATGGTTACAATCTATAGTGTATATTCGTTTTTTATTTGACTGTCCTTTTCGCGTTGACCATCACTGCCATTTGGCTATCTCTCTGGTAAATACTGCGCGGACATCATGTCTACTCTCATGATTAAATAAACAGTAAAACAATAATTACGCGTAATTATATGCGTCGCCTGTCCTGCTTTGTCAATATAAGAAGCATTTGACATAGTACATAAGGAAACGGACCTAAACGCAAAACATAACATTAATGTTTTTTAAAGTCCAGATTTTTTTTTTTTTTTCCGAAAAAGTGCAGAAATCCATAAAATGTTTTTAGAGTAGTAGGCTATACATCCCATGATACACCTATGACCCAAGTTTGGTTGTTCTAGCATTTATACTTTTTCAGAAACAGCCTAAATATGTAAGAGCTAAACGCAAAACCTTAACGTTGAGGTTTTTTCTAAGTCCAGAAATTTGAGGTTTTTACCAAAAAAATGCAGAAATCAATGAAATGCTTTTAGTGCAGTAGGCTCCACTACCCATGCTTCATCTATGATCGAGGTTTTGTTGGTGCAGCTTTGTCAGAAACAGAGCTAAACGCAAATCCTTAACATTGTTGACGCCGTCGCCGTCGGAAAAGCAACGCCTATGTGTCTTTCCGACATCCGTCGTAGGCGACACAAAAACAGAAAAAGATCAGTCAAGTTTAAAGATCCCTGTCCCACTGTACGGTGTTTTTTTCGTATATACGGTAACCTCCCCTTTATTTCATTTTGGATACCACTGTAGCTCAGATGAGTCAGAACGTTTCTGTTTACTGGGTAGCTGAGTCGGTTAGAAGGATTGTGAAACAACCTGAAATTCAGGGTTCGAATCCTGCTTAACTTTTTACATCCAGAACCTTGTTGTTGACTATATTTGTTTATATCATCTGCATTGTTGTTTCATTAAAATCCTGCAAAGTATGTTTTTCTTTTCAGAAATTATTTATCAATTAAGGTACAGTTATGCCAGAAATAACAGTTTCCTATGCAGGTTATGGCTGTGGTATGGGGATCCTTAAAAATTTCTGTAATAATTTAAGAACTGAATGCACGTCCTGAGGCCACTTTGTCTGGAGCCATTCCGAGAATACTTTTTCCCATGTTTATAAGAGTACATGACATGACAAAGGCTAATTGCTGTATCGGAAATGGACAGAACAAATTCAAAGACACGTTGCTCTGAATTTTACAATGATTACGTTAGGAGATTGACACCGTTTCTGCTCAGAGGAAGTCGGGGATATATCTAGGTCGTGATCATCTGTCATCTAGAAGGATAAATTGGTCATGGCACAATGGGGAGGGAGGGAGGTGGGGAGCGGGGACCAAGGTGACAGGAGAGAGGGGAGGGGGAAAGGGGACATGGGGATGACATCTAGACAGATAGTCTTCACTGTACTCCAAATATAGAATTTCTTAGTCTGTTCAAATTGAGTGGAATGTCTTCAGACTTGAATATGTGGTTCGTTGGCACAGTGGATAGAGCACTTGCCTTTCACCAAGGCGACCAGGGTTTGATTCCCCGATCGGAGGTTAAAAGGTTTGGGGTCACCTGCCCGACCAAGTGGGTTTTTCTCTGGGTAATCCGGTTTCCTCCTACACTAAGACCCCCGCCTGCTAACATCTTGGCCAACAAGAGTGATTTATATAAGTTGACATAACTTATTTCATAATTGTTGTAAAATAAATAAGTTTTTTTTTTAACTTGAATATGTAGATTCTTCACAAATAACACTAAAACTAGGATCCCTCTCCCTGCCACCACAACTCCTTCGGACTAAGCTTTGATCACACATCCTCAGGACTAAATTAGGAGAAGTATTCTCCACAAATATATGTCTTTATCAATATTTTAGATGAAATAGCTAACCTTATGTTTTGCTGCCATCAGAAGGGACTGAATCATTTTGTCAGTTATGACAGGGTGTCGTTAAAGCAAGGGTTAGATATGTCGGTGAAGTCTGGTAACAGGGATAGTAAGCTTGATCATGGATGATGGATCCTTCAAGCTTTGCAAGAATGAAGTTAAATGAGAAATCTAAATATATGTGTAGACTTTGTTTTTGTAAATTTATTAGCCAAAGCATTTTGTCATGTTTATCAAAGGTCTGATCACTAGAACGACTCGTGGAGAGTAAACGGCTAGGGTTACTCACACAAATGAAAATTGATGTGATTTTAAACAGAATTCCCTGGCTTTCATTACACGTCAAATATGTAGGAAACCGACCTAAAAATTCCACAGAGAAATTGTACCATTATCTGGTTTAAACTGTAAATCTATGTCAGACAATTAAATTCTATGTGGATGCCACCATGAACATTGGTTTCAAATATTTCTATATAACTTAGTATGAATATTACATATCATTAAGCCAGGAATTTGATATCTTTAGAAATCTACAACATTCTATCAGCAGATTTCTACGCCTGGGACCAATTATACTGCTGAAGATCGTAAATTTGTCTTATTATGACAAAAATAGCAAGGATTTTAGGAGAATGCAGAAAACTCGGAATTATATTTCAAGGTCGCAGCCAATTGCACTTAACTGATGCTGTAATTTTTGAAACTGTATTTTCCAATTTAGTGAAAGCTTGTAGCTAATTACCAAAAAACATTCTTCCATTTTCTTTATGAAACCTTAAATGATGACACAGTTTTATGACCAAATTAGAGGAATTTAGATCTGGCACTGTTTGCATATGAAAGTTGTTACCAGCAAAAACATTTCAATGAAAAAAATTCTTAAATAGTTGACGAAACATTGTGGATGGGAAAAACCAGCACAAAATGGCACAATGCCAAATATAATTAATGACATTTGCAAGGAATGTGTTTCAGAACTGGACATGAAAGTTATTGGAAAACCTCTATCACTTAAAAAAAACAAATGTTTAAGGGTCATATAACTCACCCAATTTAGCCTTTGCTATTGAAAAATAAAAAAAAATCTTAAAAATTTGATTTCTTGTTACCTTATGTAAATTAAATTAAAATAATGCCGTTTTAAGTTTTTATTTTTGTACATCTTTGTTCCAGATGAAATATTACTTATTTAAAATACCTAATGAATACCCACGCTTGTCTTTACACCAGGCTGTCTCTTGTTGAGCAAATAGGACAAATTTGATATTCTTCACGAAGCTTATGTTAAAATTAGATGTATGTATTAGGGAACTGTGAAGGATGTGGTCAGGCCGATTAAGACTGCTGGTCAGACTTCTCTTTAACAATTCAATGTTTGAATCTAATCAATAGTGAGGTCCTATCATGACTATTGTAATCCATACTTCTAAGGCAATTACAAATGGTCATTTGGTCAAATCAATCACTGACAGATGATTCATGTCCGAGTTCAGGCCGCGTTCTTCCCCTCCGAACAATGAATCGGGGGCCTTCCAGGATTGTAACATTTACAACATTACATTTATAATTCAATATCCCAGAGATTTGACTATAAATCCAGTTGCTGTGGTAACTGTCATAATTATGCATGTGTCCACATGTCCAGAAAATGACCGTCCCTGTGTTGTCACCATGAACAGCCATATAATTAGGTTACTGGACGTTATAAAAACGCCCCCGAGATACAAAAATCTGTCAAATTCTTTTGTGGACAGGAGGTTTGGAGAATTATGGATTTTTTATTAGTATAAATGGTCAGAAGAGATAAGGGTCAGTTGAGGGAAGGAGTTGGAAGTTAGGAGAGAAAGAGGAGGGGGAGGGGGAGGGGGAGTAGGAAGGCAAAGGAAGAAGAGTGCAGAAAAAAAGGAATCATGAAAGGAAGGAGGAAAGAATTTTAGATAAAAGGAGAAAGAAAGAAGACGGATTGGAGTGATAAAAGAAGGAGGGAAAAAGAAATTGAGGAAGGTAAAATTGGGAAAGGTAGAGAGGTAATGAGAATGAAATTAGAAGGAAAAGAAGTAATCACAAAAGTGAAGAAGGGAAAAAAGAATTGATAAAGGGAAATAAGTAGGACAAAAAAAAGACTGGTAAAGGGAAAGAAAGAATGGGCAAAAGAAGGAAGGAAAGAAGTATTTGGAGAAAGGGAAGGGGAGAAAGGTGGGGAAAGAGAAGGAGGGGTGGGATGGAAGAAAGCAAAAGAGGAAGAAAGGATGGAAAAAGAGGTCAGGAAGAGATAGGAAAAGGGAAAGAAAGAAAGAGAGATGGGAGAAAGAGAAAGATGGATGTCAGAAAGAGAAAGAAGAAGGGTATAATAAGAAGGAGGGAAGGGACAGAGATTAAAGGAGGGGGAGAGGGATTTTATTGGTCAGATGACGAGTTACACACCCAGTCAGCTTTGTATGATTAACTACCATGATTCACTCTTTGTTTGTGACAAACTTGCACCGAACCGGGGCCATTATACTTAATAAACTTAATTTCAGGCAAATAAACCCCCCAGTATAGCTTTCACAGTATCACCACACAGAAGTTAGGCCAAATTGAGATCTGAGGGCTTGTGTCTAACACACACACAGACAATGTAATAGATGACACACGTCGATCGCAGTCCGATAATGTCAATTCAGTTACATGATGCTGGTTTCTGTTCTATTTCTAACATATATTCCAACAAATAGCAACATTCCCATTCTCAGATATACATGATGTGGAATCTATTGCATGGAGCACAGTAGATGTTTTCAAGATCATTCAAAATTAGTAGTTTTGATTTGGCATATTAAACATTACCAAAACCAATATGTACACCAGAATTTAAAAACTTATATTAATAAACTTTGAATAGTACAATTATTTTTCAAAAACTGGTGTATTTTTGCATGGGTCTAATGTATGCATTTCAAAATAATTAATATTGTGCAAAGCAAAAACCTATTATGAGGTTTTTTGTTTTGTTTTTTCGTCCAAGTAGTGTTTGATTTAAAAGTTTTACTGGAATTGTAAATTGACTGGAACATTAGGCAAAATCGCCCCCGATCAATTGGCCAAAATCTCGTTCAGACTCGTACCAATTTCCTTAATCTATATACCAACCTAGATAGCATTTCACCTCCATTGAGCTGAGGGGTGTTTCTGCCGATGCTTGAATGTTGGTTATCGAGAGTGACCTCCCCTGCTTGGACCTTGGGTTGTGCGTGCTCCTTGTTGTGCTGGTGTAAGGACTTCTGCTGTTGTTTAAATCGGGATAAGCTAAAGAATAATCCTAGTATCGATTTCAAGTTCCCTTCTTTAATATCTGAAACGAGACAAAATGAAAATCGTGCATCGATGAGCAAACATAATGTAACAGATTAGCACCGATCATGCAGCCAGAATCAAGGTAAAATTTCATCTAAATAAAAGCTACAGGGCCCTAATCAATATAATCAAACTCCCCAACTCCCTACGCAATATCACAAGTGCAATGTGCTAAAAAATTCCCCTTTCCTCATTCTGTTCCAACTACCTGTTTCAAGATTCTACAATTGTTTTCTTCTTCTAATTTTGTGAAGCAAAAGTGCCTTTTAAAACATCACCAGGACCGAACGATAATGATTAGCTAAGCAGTAAATTCTTGTTTAAGTGTTTGGGGTGACAAGTTACATTCGACGTGACTCAGACAAACCTATCCATCGAGATATCTTTGGAGCTGTTGACACCGTATTTTACACGTTCTTAAAAAAAATATCCATGGAGGTAGTCACCGACAATTTATTTCACAACTAGGCAGTAAATTATCTAAAATTAATTACCGAAAGATATTTTCTGTAATCATTAGCTCACTGATCATACATGTTACATAATTATCTCGTCATATTTGAAATGATTATAGCAAGTTATTTTGAAATATATTTATTGATATTATACCGCACTAACTAACTACAGAAGGATCAATGTATTTTTTTATACATCGGTACACAAGCCAGACATTTGAGGTCTAAGAGAAGCCTCCTCCAGGTCCTTTAGATCTAAATTCTTAGATTGCCGGAGTCAACAAAAAAAACCATTGACTTCAATTTTTTAACCAAGTGCAGAATCTTCAGAGCAAATGGGAATTACAATGGATTTTATTGCAAATTGAATCAAACTCGGGAATAACATTGAGCCATAATCAATTGTATTTGATATTTGTAAAAAAAATGGTTACAATTTTTTTCGGATTAACGTTGAATTGTTTATTCAGTTTGACAAAATCGTGAGAAACTCAAGAGGCAAAGCTGGCCTGTCATGTTCAGTGGTCATCAAATGGTGTTGGCAAATATTTGACCTCTCTGACCTTAAAAGTCAGTCAAGGTAAAATTTATTTAAATTAACTTGATAGCAAGTAAAGTTTACACTACAGGTCAAAAATCGTTACTATTATTGATTTTTTTTAAACTGATTTATTTTACCCAAATGACCCTCAAAGTAAATGGGTGAAGGTCATTTCTTTGAACAAACTTGATAGCCAGTCGTCCCAGCATATTACAGGTGAAACTTCTGTATTGTATAGGCAGTATGGACCTTAAGGAGATTATATTGGAAGATTTTAAAAGATTTGACCCATGTTTCCTTTAAAGTGGGTCAAGGTCATTTATTTGTATCAAATTGATAGCACTTCAACAAAGGAAATTATAAAAGAAATATCATGAATCTAAGCTGAATTTGATCTAAAGGAGAAGTCGTTTAAGCTTTTAAACACGTTTGACCTGTGTGGCTAAGAAAGTATATTGAGGTCATTTATTTGGATGCATATACGCTCATCAACACTTCAAGTCAGGTGAGCTAAAAATGAAAAACAGCCAATCGGAGGAATCATGATATTTTTCAAAGAAACGTAGTTCTTGGAGATGTTGGGGAGCGTAGAGTTTGACCTTGCCATATCTGTGATTCATGACCTTGACAATGCAGTTGAACCTTTTTATACTGCATCCATTTGTCTAGCACACTTTTGGCATTGTAAACAGGTTTGGTGATTCAAGGAGGGAAACATAAATGGAATATCAAAGATTTATGAAAGCCGAAAAAGTTGCAGTTTCTGGCAGAGGTATGGGGATCCCTAAGGGACCACAATTCAGGATTCCCTTTGGTGGTCTCTTCATACAAATTTGACTGTACTATTATTTAACATCTGCTAACCATCAATACTGTCTGATCAGTAATCCTAGTCCCCACCCCGAGAGGTGTGCTAAATGACCTACCTTTAGCACTAAGTCCTTCAACGTTGACCCCCAAAGTCGCCAGGAATGTTAGGCACGTGTTGATGTTTTCAACCTGAAAAATACAAAAAATAAACATTTCATTAAGAAATATGTCACAAAATAGTACAGTTTTCAGCTGAAAACCAACTGTTTAAGGCTAACATAAATATACTCCTTCCGACCCTCGCCACCCCCAATCAGGATATCAAAAGAGTTCGAGTGTGACCTCTGACCCTTTAACCTTGATCTATGACAACCAAAATTTTATCAGATGTGGAACTCATTGTTACCATACCTTGGTGCAAATATAGACAGGATTTGTTATGGGGTTATGATAATTTAACCTTTGACCCTTTAACCTTGACCAATGACCACAATTTTTTGTAACGGATGAAGAACTCAATCTGTTGTGGGTTCATGAAATATCTTGTACACAGTTTTACTTCAAATGTGGTCAAGTTTAACCTTTGACCCTTTAACCTTGACTGATGACAACCAAAACTTAATCAGATGTAGAAGGCAATTAGAATGCTGTGTGTCGAAAAGTGAAAGCTCAATGAAACTCAAGGGGTTGAGAAAGTAAATCTTTCTTCCAAACTGAAGAGGATTTTATTATTTTGTAAATATTCTACAAATATTTTATGACCTGAATAACTGCAAAATAGTTGCTGTTATGGTGACTGAGTTTTTGTGAACAGTTCACATTCTTATCAATTTGTTCCCGGTAAATTATGCAGATATTACACCAACACATATAACATTCATTACAATGGCTAGGAAAAGACTCAACTTCAGATAAAATAAAACTCTTTCTCTCTCACACACCATATTTTCTGTATGAATTTGTGAATGTGCATCACCAATGAAGAGCCGTTTAACAGGCGATATGTCACATTCACACTTCTGCTGATGTCTAATAAATAATTCATATCACCTATCATATTTATACATTTGATATTGTTATGAAAATGGATGAAAGCTGCTCTATGAAATCTCAGTCAGACAGCTACCAGCTGTCTCGTTCATTTCAGCGGAAACAGATTAACACATAAATATATATACACAGTCTAACATGCAAGATTTAGAAATTGATATTTCAAATTGTGAAGACTGGTGCAAAATTGATCTGCAACATATTTTCTATTCATTGGGTTTGCCAGGGAAGTTACCTATGTGGCCGAGTATGGTTTCTGATTTATACCATTTTGTTGAATTAAAAAAACGAAATTATTGCTTTTTGTGTTTTCACCCCAAAAAGACCAAAATCACCAAAATCAACAAAAATTGATTCTCAATGTTTCGACTTCCCTCCCGCAGAGACACTAATCAATTAACACTAACTCTGACTGTACTGTCCTTTTGCCCCGTAAAGGCAAAAATTAACAAACCTTAATTCTCGTTCTTACATCTTATTGCAACAAATAGGCAAAACAACGAGAATTTGAAAATACTAAATCTCCTGTTATGGGGGCAAAAGGACGAAACAACGAAATTGCACAAAATCACCCACTGTAGCTGTGTTTTGAATTTAAATATATACATTGAAACTCTGATTGGAAAATTAAACGATACTAAAGATTAAATTGTATAGCACATTACATATTATATAAATATAATAAAAAAGTTGGTATATTTAAAAACATGGTCAAAATAAATCTTCAACATTACTCAATTCAGAAATATTTCTTCCTTGCAGCTGTTAAAAAAATCCTTTTCCTCATTTAAAAACAGTTTCAAATGATCATTACACACAAAAATCACACGCCTGGGAAAATCTAATGAGACCCAAACCTTATCGTTTTCAGATTCTGGTAATTAATGTGAAAATCTTGCATTCATTAAATTATAAATACTGAAAGCTGTACATTTTTAAAATCATTTTGAAGGGTGTTGTATTTATCAATTAGGAAAAAGTACATAGGAATTGTCATGTTGTTTCAGTTAACGGGCGGAGCTCTATTTCATACTGTATAATTAAAATAATACAAACTGGATACGGATAAATCTGTACATTCCGAGCTGGGGATTTTTTTTAGAGAAAATATGTCAGTTATTGTGGATTAAATGAGCTCATTTCCTCGTCAAGCAGCCAGCTGTTAGTATTAATCTACTACAACAAATGACACCAAAGCAAGTCTGGATTTCAGAGGATTGTTTTGTGTTACATTTTCTGTCCCATTTTGCTTGCAGCTAGTTCATATGGAGTTAAGAAACGTTTTATAACATGGTTTCATTGAAACCAAGAAAGTGCAAAACGGTAATGGTTTTTTTCATTATAACGATCATTAGTCACAAAAGTTGACATGAGCCAGGAAAAAACTGGTTTTGAACACCCATTCTCAAAGGTTTTAAGGCGTCTTCGAGAATGTCATAATCATTTATATAACACTTAAAACATTCATTTAAATACATGAACAACGAGAAATCAATAGCATTCTGGAGTGTTCTACAAATTACTTTACAAAGTTTTGGTTTTATTAAATTGCCAAACAAGTTTCCACCTTAAGTTTTCTCCATTTCAAAGATATTAATTAACAATGAAGAAAAAAGAATTTAATTTCGGGCCTGAAACACACATTACCATTTTAGTGGATGTCCTATTTTACCTTCATAAGATTTGTCACAGATGAGCAGTCTAAAAACTATGAGTGTGCTAAAGTGTGTAGTCCTTCATATCTTTTTTCACCCATTTCGTGGTGCAAGAAAGCACTACATGGTATAGTTTTTCTATCAAAGCTATAGTCATGTCGGTAAAACAAGCTGTTGATGGACAGTTACAACCGTAGTCCTTGGTACAGGGAACCTTAACGTGTTTTTTGTTCTACACTGTAACCTGTACACAAAGAACTGTCTACAATCTGGAAACCTTCATAAATCAGACATGATTTCAACTGAATCCCTATGTATACTTTTACAGGGAAATTGAACCTGCACCTCTACAACTATTCCAGGTAGATATATAATGGTCTGGGCTTGTTTTAAATTTAGACAGTTTTCACAACCTACATGTCATTAACCTGCCTGAGAGACCACCTCTATGAAGAGGCCACCTATGTTAGGAGAACACTTTGATAACTCCCCATCATACTCATTTTCATTATTGACGAAACCTTCATGAAAAGGCCACCTGTGTTATTAGACCACTTTTAAATTCCCCATCATACTTATTTTCATTTCTAACCGAACCTTCATTAAAAGGCCACCTGTGTTAAGAGACCACTTTTTGAACTTCCAAACACAGTTTTCATCTAACTCAACCTGTTTTACAAGACCACTTGCAAAAGAAACCATTTCATGACTTTCCGAAGGTGGTTTCTGAATACAGGTGTGACTGCATATTATTCTGCGAAGATGAAGGTATCTCTTGCTGTTTGAAAGTGACCAGATAATTTTAATTACAAAACCATCATTAACCCTTTCACCACTATAGACCATAATGGACTCATCCCAATTAATGCATGAAAGAGTTTACTAAAGTTACATAGGGGTGAAAGGGTTAAAATATGTTTCAATGCATTAAAAAAGATAATTTGTTGACAATCACTGACTTCATACATACATACATACATACATACATGTCATCAATGTAAGACCAATACAAGCTTTCGTTGTTGGACCGACAACCATGATCATCTCGTCAAAAAACCAACAACATTTGACCAAGATTGACTTAGCGCTACGAAAGAAGTGCAAAACTAGTCTGCTGTGGTCTCGTTAAAACGACTTCCTTACATTATTGATGATGATGCTCTACCTCTGATAAACTGCGATGAAATAGACGAAGGACGAGGGTGTGACTCATCACTCTCACTATGATGTCGGCTGTTAATCACAAATAACGGGTTTTACTGCGAAAAATCAATATTGATACCTTGATCCCATTTGTTTATATTTAACTAGTTGAATAAACTCGTTGACGGATTTGTATTTTCATCAATTCAAATATCATTTTCTGGTTTTTCTTCATCATAACATAATTTTTTTCCCCGTTTGGCACAGATTTTCTGAACTGTACCAGATAATTCAGACACAAGTAAAGCACATGCCGTATTTTATTAATTCTGTTATTGAAATGTTTAGCCCAAAGCAGTTGCCATTATGTCCGTTGTTTTTTGTGTGTAAATTTCACTTCATTACATTAAAGAGAAGGTGACAAACAGTTAGTGACCCGGAGCAAAATTTTACGATGGACCAGATTTTTTTAATGGCCTTCACTTTGTGTTTACCAATTACTTGCGAAATATCAATGGACGAGGTTTTGATTAAAATCGATACATGGTCGTTTGTTATCACATTCTATTCAGAATTAAAGATCATTCCAGCGTCCATGCTGTCGTGAGATGTGAGCAGACGACAGTTGCTTCTCGAGCAGACGACAGTTTTTTATCAGAACCCCCTACAGAGTAAAGGTGATTAGAACTGTAGGCCCTCAATTCAAAAACTGTTGTGAGAGGCATGTGACACGCAAAAACAGCACATGTGGGGAGGAGGCTTAATCATTGCTTGTTTCCTCCTTTACGACCACATAGGGCATCATAACGAATGATCTTGAAACTCTTCAATAATGAACTGCACACAATGTCTGTGATATATATACAAAATTTGCATACCAGCTTCAAAATAACTTCTTCTTTTTAAAAAAAATAAAAGTACAAGAAACCTGACACGAAACATTCTTGGCCTTAGAAACAAATTCCTCGGTCTCTGTTAATAACAACCATTAGACACACAATACTATACATGTGAAAGTCATATAGATCTGACAATCAAAACATATATATTGTTTTCTGCATTAAAAGAAGGATTAAGAAGTTAAGCAGATCAATATAACATAAAAGCATTAATTCCACGGTCAATATATCCTTTGGGAGGTTTCCGTCACCTTTTGTGCGGATTCTGACCCCATTTACGGAGATTTTAACCCTTTTTGTAACAGTCTTCCACTGCCTAACCCTTATCCCTAAATCTGTGTTTGGGAGAAAATCATCAGATAAATGCATTTAAACCTCATTTATAAAGAATGTAACTCCTTTTCCAAAAGATTTACACCTCTTAACACAACTTCACTAAATC